ACACCACTCATCACTGGTCTCCACTTGAACACTGAGACATTGACCATGACTCTCTGAGTGCAACCATCCAGCCAACTCCTTATCCACCAAGTGGTGCATCTGTCAAATCCACGTCTCTCCAATTTAGAGACAAGTATGTCATGTGGGACAGTGTCAAATGCTTTGTACGAGCCCACGCAGATGATGTCAGTTGCTCCTCCCTTATATCCACCATCGCTGTAACCCGACCATAGAAGGCCACCAGATTTGTCAGGCACCATTTTCCCTTAGTAAAACCATGTTGGCTGTCACCAACCGCCTCTTTATTTTCCATGTGCCTTAGCATAGTTTCCAGGAGGATCTGCTCCATGATCTTGCCAGGCACAGAGGTAAGACTGGGTGGCCTGTAGCTCCCAGGGTCTTCCTTTTTTCCCCTTTTTAAATATGGGGGTTATGTTTACTCTTTTCCAGTCACCTGGAACTTCACTGGACTGCCACGACTTCTCAAATACGATGGATAGTGGCTTAGCCACTTCATCTGCCAGTTCCCTCAGGACCTGCGGATGTATCTCATCAGGTGCCATGGACTTGTGCATCTTCAGGTTCCTTAGATGGTCTTGAACCTGATCTTCTCCTACAGCGGGTGTTTCTTCATTCTCCCTGTCCTGCCTTTGCCCTCTTTGACTTGGGCGGTGTAGCTGGAGCACTTGCTGGCAAAGATGGAGGCAAAGAAATTGTTGAGTACCTTGGCCTTCTCCATATCCCAGGTAACCAGGTCTCCCATTTCCTTCTGGAGAGGGCCCAGGTTTTCCCTAGTCCTCCTTCTATCACCAATGTACCTATAGAAGTTTTTCTTGTTGGCCTTGATATCTGTGGCCAGATTTAATTCTGCCAGGGCCTTGGCTTTCCTAACCTGATCCCTGTCTGCTCGGTTAATTTCTCTGTATTCCTCCCAGGCTACCTGTCCTTGTTTCCACCCTCTGTAGGCTTCCTTTTTTTTTTGTTTGAGTTTGTCCAGGAGCTTCTTGTTCATCCACGCAGGTCTCCTGGAATTTTTGCCTGACTTCTTCTTTGTCAGGATGCATTGCTCCTGAGCTTGAAGGAGGTGATCCTTGAATATTAACCAGCTTTCTTGGGCTCCTCTTCCCTCCAGGGCTGTATCCCAAGGTATTCTGCCAAGCAGTTCCCTGAAGAGGCCAAAGCCTGCTCTCCTGAAGTCCAGGGTAGTGAGCTTGCTGTGCGCCCTCCTCGCTGCCCTAAGGATCTTGAACTCCACCATCTCATGGTCACTGCAGCCAAGGCTGCCCTTGATCCCCACCAGCCCCTCCTTCTTGGTGAGAACAAGGTCCAGCATAGCATCTCTCATCGCTGGCTGCTCTACCACTTGGAGAAGGAAGTTATCATCAACGCATTCCAAGAACCTCCTGGATTACTTATGCCCTGCTGTGTTGTCCCTCCCAACAGATATCGGGGTGGTTGAAGTCCTCCATGAGGACCAAGGCTTGTGAACATGAGGCTGCTCCTACATGTCTATAGAGGGCCTCATTCGCTCAGTCTTCCTGGTCGGGTGGCCTGTAGCAGACCCCCACTATTACGTCACCTGTGCCTGCCATCCCATTTTCCTAATGTCCAATCTGAACTTCCCCTGATGCAGCTTCATTCCATTTCCTTGTGTCCTTATCACTGGACAGCAGAGAGATCAGCACCTCCCCCTCCACTGCCCCCTGTGAGGATGTTGTAGACTGCTATGAGGTCCTCCCTCAGCCTTGCTTTCTCTTCTCTAAGCTGAACAAGCCAAGTGACCTCAACCGCTCCTTTTAAGTCTTGCCCTTGAGGCTGTTTCACCATGTTGGTCACAGTCCTCTGGACACACTCAAATAGCCTGTCCTCCTTATATTGAGCCACCCAAATCTGCACACAGTACTTGAGGTGTGGCCACACCAGTGCATTGCAGAGCAGGACAATCACCTCCCTTGATGGGCTAGCTATACTGTGCTTGATGCACCCCAGGACACAGTTGTCCCTTTTTGCTACCAGGGAACACAGCTGACTCTCATTCAACTTGCTGTGAACCCAGACTCCCAGATCTCTTTCCACAGGGCTGCACTCCAGCCTCTCATCACCTGAGTTGTATGTATAACCAGGACTGCCCTGTCCCAGATGGAGAATCAGGCGCTTGCTCTCGTTAAATTTATTACTGTTGGTGATCGCCCAGCTCTCTAGTCTATCCAGATCTTTTTGTAAGACACTGCCCATTCTGCTGTTATCTGACATACCTGAGCATCATCCCAACAAAATAAACATAACTTATTATACACATTTAATGTCCTTGTTCATAAGTCCATTTCCTCCCAATTTTTATCCCTCTGAAATCTATACTGCATTGTGAAGTTATGTCAATTTTCCCCTTTGACCTCTCCTCCTCTTACGTATTAATTCATATTTTTCTTTGACTATTCCCTTTGTTTTTTCTTGATCAAGTTTCTCAAGACAACTAAACTGGTATTATTTCTTGAGGTTTAGTGTTAGAAGGGTCATTAAGAAATTACAATTTTTAAACCCAGAATTTAAATATCCTTTCCTCTTTACAGAGCCTATTTGAAATTATTAATACTTGTTAAGATCTGTATTTATAATCTATTAAAAAGAACTTGAATTAAAATAACAAGAATTAAGCAATATATGCTTACTGCAACAGGTCAGCCAGAGCGCTATGGAGACCACTTGCTCAGATCCTAAGATCAGAATCTGACAACAGCTTCTACTTTAAAATATCAAAAATTTCGTGTGGAGCTCATGCTGCTAAGAGATTTTTCCATTTCAGTTTATTCAGTTATCAACTTGTTCATCCAAAGAAATAAAGCAGAAAATGAAAAGGAAATCTTTATATTCATCTTCACATAACTAAAAATGAAAAAAGTGCTACCTAATGAGTCACAGCAGCTCCAAAAATCCTGAATACCATCAGGATCAGTAATAATTTTGGCAAATTATTTAATTACAAACAGCAATTCCTTTATTAAAAAGGGCAAATGGGCTTTGTTTTTCCACTTTAAACTGTTGTTAAAGGTATCCTGAAACTTAACCAGATACTTGTTTTTTCAACTGAATTCTAATTTTGATGCAAACACTGCTTCATATGAAGTTGATGTTAAAAAGTATTGAGTAAATGCATTATTCATCCTTTATAGTATCATCAGTCATATCAATGTGTTAAAAACACGATTAAATGAACATTTAAGCTATGTAATTACTTAAATGAATAAAGACAAAAAGTACCATATTATGCTGATCTCAATCACCATTTTTCCCTCCTTGAAAAAACACATTCAAAGCTAGATTTAAATTATTCCAGGTCCATCAAACCTATGTGCTAGCCACACCTTTTCATACATGGTATTACTTATCCTCTGCCAAGTCACTGAAAGACTTAACAAGTGCAGACATTCACTATCATCTTGCAGTGCTCTAACTGTGAACCATATCTGACATACCCAACTGAGACTATGATGTCTAACGAAACCTTTGCAGAAAGGATCAGATCTGTCTGTACTTAAGCTTGCTAAATGTAACCAACTGCATTAGCAGAACTTCTTGAGCTAATGAAACAAAGACTTTGTGATCAGAGCTGGCTCATGTCCAACCAGTTTTCGGGGCAACCTGAGCTTGCTCACATATATCTACAAGACTGCACAATCAGATTAGGTTGAACATGAAAGACAAAACTGTCCCATATATTCCTTTTGAGCATAATCTAAAACCTACTCCTGCAGACTGACAACAGCAGGGAATCTATGTAATGCTCAAAATAATTACAGATTTATTTTTAAATGCAAGCTAGAGACTCCAGATAGAAAACAGAAAGCATAGAAGACAAGCAAAACAGAACACAGTTGGTGTTAGGACCACAAGGATGCAGCCATGATGTTGGCCAACAAAACATAACATGGAGATACATAGTTTTCTTGAAACTACTAGAAATGACTGATTTATTCAGCCAGACATCAGAAAAAAGGCTCAGAACATCATTTTTAAGATAGTCCCAATGAACAAAATGTAAACTATACCCAGCCTATAGAATTAATCCAATGATAAAACAGTAAGAGTTAAAATAGTAAATCATGGGTAAATCTAAGATTAGGAATATTCATGGACCTTAGTTTACCACTAAAAGCATCCCCAGACTGAGTTTGTTAACATTCGTAAGAATCTTAATATATATAATCACACTTGGAAAAAAAACTACTTTGTTTTTCCTTTACTGCATTTCTGCTTGCCTAATAAAGACACACAGCAAAGAAACTCTGAACAATACCCATTTCCCAATGCCAAGACTAAGAAACCCAGATGGATGGATGGAGACACCAGTGCAGGCTGGAGCCACTGCACAGCAAATACTACTTTCTCCCAAGTGAATGAGTGTGCTTTTATGCAGCCCACACACAGCTTCTTCTAATTATGCCCACAGCTGTTAAGCAGAACTGCCTGTTCTCCAGCAAGGTGACCCTGCCAAACCCACTGTGAAAGGAACAACATTTGTTCCTTTAAGAAAAAGTTCCATTTACTGAGGGGAAAAAAACCCAAAAAACCCAAAAAACCCAAAATCCAGAGACCACAGAAGTCAGTGAAAAGACACACATTTGTGTCACTGAGCCTTGGATCAAGACTGCAAGAACAGCCTCTACCTCCATATGCAAACCATGATTTTATAATAGATGTAGTGTGACTATAAGAAACTAGCTACAGTCAAAGATTTAACTATTTTTTTTAATAAAGTGTTTTCTTCCTATTTTAATTGTCTTTGGCAGTTCAAACTTCTGCCAGAAGGAAACCATCCAAAAATAAAGCTGCATTGGCAGTACCTTCAAAAATGGTTGCATATTTAGGAAGTCACAGGAAAAAAAAAAAATAAAAAAATCAGGATTCTGTATACATTTTAGCATGAAAACCTGAATAAATACTTTTTGTCAGTACTATATACTTTAATACAAACAAAATTAAATCATTATTTACACTGCTATCTCATAATATTTTGTAGCAATAATCCAAACCTAAGAGCAACTATATCACTGTCAACTTGTTGTTGCCTAAAGACCAAAGGAAGTTAACCCTTCAGGCAGCGATTCCTAAAATACCTGATATAGTACCAAGCATTTGATGGAAGGAATGAAAGATGTGCCGCATTGCAAAAGAGAGCCATCGTGTCCAGAATGTTAAATAATGAATACAGGAGTCTCAGCACAGTGCTATAACTCAGGGCAAATTAGAGAGAAGCCAACAATACCAGGACAAAACACAGAGCAAAATAGCCTTGAGAGGCACGCTCTATCAGGGTGTCAAACTGAACCTACGTTCTAAACTATTCTCAGTGTACTAGTGTCACAATGCTTCAACGTTTTCTATTTCCATAATTTTTCACTTTAATAAGTGCAAACACATTATCACTCACATGGAATCAAGCCCTACTTTTAAATTAATAGTGTCTGTCTTTAACTCTATAACATATAACTCAGGAATGCTGCATCCAAGCAAGCCCAAAACCGTAGGGAATACTGTATGCAACAATGGACAGAACTTTTTCAGAAAAGGCAGATGAGAGAAATGGGGAACATAGTCTCATTCGTTTGCATAACCAACTTTTTATATAAATGTATGTTGGATTAAAAAAGTTTCTGTTAATGATGTTTTAACAGAACACATCTCAGCTCTTCCAATTTACTAATAAACTTTTGAACTATTTTTCTTCTAATAAATTTCAATAATAAATTTAATCTAATAATTCCAAGTAATAAACTGTGGAACCAGTGTTTCAAAGGCAGGAGAAAAAGGACGCACACAGAACTCCTGGATACAGGCAAGAAGGGAAGTAGAAAAGGCAAAAATTCAAACTACTAAAGGCTGTATTAGCAGTTTGAACAACATTTTCTAGTGTTGACTCATCCATCAAAAGCATTTTCTTAGCACATTTTCCTCCAGACATCTGAAGGAATGCTCTCCGCATGCTACTCCTAAAAGAAAACAGTGCCTCTCCTAGAAGAATGCCAAGTTGTCTGTATAGATTCACTTATAATAATAATATTAATAATCCAAGAAAGGAGAAATGAAAAAAAAAACCAACCTGTAGCACTGAGAACAAGAGGAAGGCACAGCAGAAGTAAAGGAGAAACTAGTTTCCCCAGTTATGCTAGACCACATTTTTGAAGATCACTAATCTAGACAAAAAAAATGCAGCTTGTTGACATTCAAGTACATGAGACCTGAATTTGAAGTTGCCAGTTCTAGTTGTCCATCCCATCTAACTTCCTCTACTGCACTGCTACTGAAGCAGAAATAGTTGAACTATGAATAAAGATCCTTCCGAGCTCCCAATTTTCAGTCCAATATTCTTCATCCAGTCCAGTATTTTTTAGGCAAAGTTAAATGAACACCAGTTTAGTCAAAGGGCAGTAAGTGCTTCAGTTGTCTAACGCTAACCCATTGGCACATCTAAGCGGAGGTTTTCTAAGAGTGATTTCACTGCTTTACAGAGC